GGCCGGCGGTGGTGCCGGTGGCGGCGGCTGCTCGAGTCGAAGGAGCTTTGTTCGAATTTTCAGACGGGACACCATTTGGCTTCTCGAACGGGTCCTCACAAACGGCGCCAAATGATGGGACAAAGATGTCACCCGGGTTCCCTCGGCTCGAACGGCCACCGTACCTGCAAGAACCCAAAGTCGGGGACCCCGGGAAGGGTGCCCGGCTTTGGGCCTCCGATTCTTAAGTCAGTACTGGATTCATATGAGAATGCATAGAGAGAGAGAGAGAGAGAGTGTGTGTGTGTGTGTAGGGACAGAGTGTGTAGAGAATGATTAGAGAATGAAGGAAATGAGTACCTTCTCCCCCTTTTTATAGTGAGAGTGTACCTTATAGTCCCCACAGACGGCGCCAAATGATGGGACAAAGATGTCACCCGGGCTATCTCGGGTCGAACGGCCACCGTACCTGCAAGAACCCAAAGTCGGGGACCCCGGGAGGAGTGCCCGACTTTGGGCCTCCGATGCTTAAGTCAGTACTGGATTCATATGAGAATCCATAGAGAGAGAGAGAGAGAGTGTGTGTAGGGAGAGAGTGTGTAGAGAATGATTAGAGAATGAAGGAAATGAGTACTCTCTCCCCCTTTTTATAGGGGGAGTGTACGTTATAGTCCAAGTTGGGTCTAGCCTAAGTTGGGCTCGGCCCATATTATCATATCAAGTGTCTTAGCCCATGTATAGGCGTATTCTTCAATATATATCCATAAAAATCGATCGGGTACGACATGCTATATCAGATACTACCGGTCGAGCCGGCAGTACTAGTTGTGGTTATATCATATTCCAATGGTATAGTTTCCATTTGAATGGTTCCAACGGAAATATTCCGTTGGAATGTGTTTTTCATTGGAATTTTAGATGGAATTTGATGATTCCAACGGCTATATTTTTAACGGCTTTTTACCATAAAAATTTCCGTTGGAATATGCAAATTCCATTGAAATTTTTATTTCCACCCCCGTTGAAAAATTTACCGTTGGAATCGTCAAAATCCAACGGAAATTCCAATGGATAACCTATTCCAACGGAATATTTCTGTTGGAATCCATTGAAAAATTCCAACGAAAATAATAGTATTGAAATATCCATTGGAATTATCGTTGGAATAATCTTTTGGATCAGATTTCCGTTGGAATTTCATCATTTTCTTGTAGTGTTCGGGCTTGTGCATTTCCATAGATATAAATAAATTATTATAAGTTAATATATGCATGCAATATTAAAATTATTAGTTATATAATGGTATAAAATTTTAAACATATGGTATTATAAGTTATATTTATGAATATAATATTAAAATTATAAGTTGGATAAGGGTATTATGTTTTAAAATTTGATCATTGGTTCAAATAAATAGTACATGAGTATTTGATTGCATATGAATTACTATATTGGTTGCATAAAATGTAATAAATAATGTAATAGTTGTAATTTTGAGAGATCAAGACCAATTAATTTGCTGAAAAATATAAATTTTATTATACCAATTTCTTATGCGGTTTAAAGGGATCTTACTACGACTATCGGACCTCAATTACATCGACCCTCGTTAAAACAAATTAATTTATTTTAAAAATCATCGTTTAGTAAGATAAAAAAATATAATATTGTTTTTAGAATAAGTAACTTGAACAAAAAGTTTTACAATATAATTTTGTATGTTTATGTGACTTTCATAAATAATTTAGGGTCAAATATAATTATTCATTTTAGTAATAACTAAAATAAGGTACAATAAAAAAAAACTATAATTACCACTCAACAATTATAAAATGCAACTATTTTTTGTCTTAATTAAGAAAATCAATTTCTACAAAAGTTAAGTGCCCGTACATGTAATTTATAAAGTAAAATTTATGAAGTTTTATTGAATGAATTGCTATCAATTATATATGTATAGATATCATGTTAGTTTTACATGATAATTAAATGAAATATAATACATACACATGACAACAAAGCTCAGCTTAATAGTATGACGCTTCACCTGTGACCGATAAGTCATGAGTTCGAGTCACCGAGTAGAAGAAATACAATCAATCCTCCTAACGAATATATATATATAAGGGAGTACAAAAATTCACCGAGTAATGCTCATCTACTCACGGTGGACACATGATGATAATATGCCTGCCTACCGTTTATGTGCATGCACATATTGATGATATATTTTTTTAACATATTAACATGTGCCCACCGTGGATAGGTGAACATTAGTCGCGTGTAATAGAATTCCCCTCCCCACCGCTAGAATAGTTGACTAGATTAGAGGCCCTAACAACTGCATATCTCGACCGTCCGTTGTTCGATCAACGGCTGAAATTCCTCGATAATCATTAATCTATTCAGAAACACACAGCATTAGGGCTCACGGTCCAAAAACCAGAAAAAACTCCATCTTCTCACCGATCTCCTTCTCTGAACAGATTTTAAACTCTCAGTTCTTCACAATTAGCTCTCTTTGAATTTGTCTCTAACAAATCCAGAAACTGACGATGAGCAAGGGACCGGGACTCTTCTCAGACATTGGCAAGAAAGCCAAAGGTTTGTTAATCATCTTTGGATTCAACAATGGTGTTTTATTTTATTTTTTCTTTCTTTTTTTCTACTTATTTAATAATTTTATGTCAAACTTTTGGTTTTTTTTGATATTCTTTGTAGATCTGCTTACTAAGGACTACCTCTCTGATCACAAATTCTCCGTCTCCACCTACAGTGATGCCGGAGTGGTGAAGTTTTTCATTCTTTCGCTTTTTCATAATAAATGCGTTGATTATGGTTGGGGTGCTTTTTATTTTTGTGATTCACGGGTTGTTTGTTGTTTGTTTAGCTGATTTGTGTATTTTAGGGTTTCGATCCTGTGAAGCAGGTGCTAGTTTGTAGAATCAATAAGAGACAAGGTTGCGATACATTTATAACCAGATTTAGCAAATTGGGTTTGGCTGTGATTCGGAAAGGCGATAATATCGTGGAGCATTCGTCGTGTAGTGTTTGCTTAGACGTAGTCGGTCTGATTGTTTTTCAGGGTATTGCTGCAAAAGATGTTCTTATTTCATTAAAACAAGGCTTTTTGGATCACGTTCCCCCCATAATGCTAATTTCTGAAATAGTGTTGAATTTCTTTATAATACACGCTTCTTCTGCATTTGTTAGTGGTTAGCTAATGCTTCGGTTTCTTTTGTTTGGGTGAAAGAGTCAACTTTTACATCTGATTGCTGAGTGTTATCTTTTCATCTATAGTTTGGACACAGAATTTGCTTTCCTTTTGTTTGTTGGTTCTAGCATTACATTGTTTAGCTTGTTTAGTTCATGGTTCCCCAGGCGCCTTGTAGTGCTTTTCCTCCGCCAAAGGCGCTCCTCACCTCAGTTGTACTTTAAATTTTTTTTTAAAAAAAAAAGTTCTAGGATTTGAAAGCGGGTTTCTCTCCTTCAGATCTAATTAGCACTTATAAATGGTTCTTTAGATTAGAGATAAATAGAAAATACCTTTATAAGCTCCTTGGATTTGAAAATTGAAGGGAACAGCGGCTGCCCCATCCCGCTTCTGACTTTCTTTAACAACAAGCCGCCATCTTGCTGAAGTAGACCTCTTTTTTGGTTTCCTCTTCTCCTTTTCTGTTTCTTTTCCTTTCCCGTTTTAGTTTATTTCATGTTCTTTCTTTATGTGCCAGATTATGGTCATGGATAGATAATTAGGTCCAAATTGTCCATGTGAAGAATGTAGCCTCTGATGGTACATAAATTAATTAAATGGGATGCTTTCCATTTGAAATGCTGTATATTTTTTTCCCGTCTTGGGAGTATAGTAATCATATTCAAATTGTAGATTTTGCAAAGTTGGTTGCTTTTTGTTCTATTTTATCTTTGTAATGTATCTTATTATTTTTTTTTTAACTGTTATTTTTTGGATTCCATTTTTTTTTTTGTTTGATATATTTGTGATTTAGCCATGAGTTTTATACACATCAGTCTTTGCAGATCATCTTCATGACATTTAAAATGGGTTAAGGTTGGGGATGGTTGGGAAACAGAATTTTATGTTTTATAGGATACAACTTTTCTGCTAATATTTTGTTGCTATATTTGGGCATTAAGTAAAATAACATTAGATATGTGTGGTGTGCCAATGACTGGTTTTGTTATTTACACTTTCGAAGAATATCTCGATCATTTTGTTCATTAAATGAAAGTAGATATCACTAGTCTAGGATCGCGTTATCTTCCTTTTATTCCTTCTTTTCTCTTTTATCATTCTTAAGAGCAGAGACTAATTTTAAAGTTATATTACATTTCATCTATTTACCTATTTAGTTATTTCTCTTTTGCTTTAGTCAGGCACCATATAGATCTCTAAGCGTTAGAGAATAATTTAAAAGTTATATTACATTTCATCTATTTACCTTTTCAGTTATGTCTCTCTTGCTTTAGTCAGGCACCAAATAGATCTCTAGCGTTTGTGCTTTCCAAACAGGAACTTTTGATTTGTTTTGACGATCTTTTTGCCATGATTATAATTATATTAAGTATTTCAATTTAAAACGCAAAAATTAGGGGTGTGAGTAAAAAATTGTTTCTGAATTGTGGAACTCTTTACAAGTATATTATTAGCTTGGGTTTATAGAGTGATAACATGGTTAATGTATCTAATTGCTGTGGCCAACCCTTTGATCTAAAGAATGGCGCTTTAGTAGGCTAAATGCATATTGTAGTCCAAATAACTTGTTTGTGATTGTCATATTAAAAAACATATATGGTAGTGTTTGGGTTATAAATCCGCCACTGTCTTCTGTTACTTATATCATGTATCCAGCCAATTTTACTTAGAGTTTGACATATTTCGACTTACATTTTCACTGTCATTAATTCTGTTTGTTGTTCTTTTCGTGGAGTAATAGATTAACTCGTAGTATCATGTTTCGTGTTCTTTGGATGAAATGCTTTTTAACCATGCCTATTAGCTATGCAGAGTCAACTACCTCAGCCAAATTGTTTGTTTAATTCTAATACTCCATGCCCACCAAAAGTCTATTTGAAACATAGTTTTTAGATTCCCTTTGCATCCTTGAACACAACTTCCACAATAAGCATACGATGTACTTGCATGGTGGAATATTTGTAAGACAACTGTTTGTTTAACAAATATCAAAGCATGTTGTGGATATTTTTTTTTCTTTCATCTGCTTCTCTGTTAATATTTCTGTGCCTAAATTGGGGGTACTGATCCTGACATCTTGTACTGTATCTTTTTTAAGCGGAATGTATTCGATGAAATAATTCTTCCTGCTGATCAGTTTTTTTTATTTTATCGCGAAGTCCTTTTACTGTAATTGCTCATTGGTTGGATAATAATTTCTTGTTTCTTTTAGAACTCTCTCGTATCATTTGAATTCCCCTGGAAATGACGTGAAAATCCTATTTCCAAGTTCCAACGTTTACTGATTTTTTCCCCTCAACATAGGCACTGACAACATCCACTGTGAAAAAGGGTGGTTACTCATCCGGCGATGTGGCAGCTCAGTACATATATAAGAACACTTCTGCTGATGTGAAAGTCGATACAGAATCGAATGTGAGATTGCAGAAATTTTATCACATAACAAATGCTTAATGCCTCCTTTAACACTATTCCCATAGTCAGTCTGACCCCTTTTTTCCTTTTTTCACAGATCTCAGCAACTCTGACTGCTGCCAATATCATCCCATCGTCGAAGACAATTGCCACTCTGAAGTATCCCAATTATGAGTCTGGCAAGGTATGTGTGCCCCACTTTTTCACATCCTTACCTGACTTCAGTCTCCTCTTTCTATCACTAATATTTTCTTGCATTTGTCACTTATGCAGCTGGAATTCCAATATTTCCATCCTCACGCGTCACTGACTGCAGCTGTTGGTCTGAGCCAAGCCCCTCCTGTTGATTTCTCGGTGACACTTGGCACTCCGACCTTTGCTTTGGGTGCAGAAGCTGGTTACGAGACCACTTCCGGAAAATTAACTAAATATACTGCCGGCATAACCGTGACAAAACCAGATTCCTGTGCTTCAGTGCTTCTGTAAGTTTCAAGTTTTTGTTACTTAGGTTGATAGCTCTAATTTTCAGAAGCTTCTTGTATGGCAGTTTTCTTATACTGCTAGCCAGCTGGAGGGCTTAATTCCAAATAAGACCCTGCGATTCAGTCTAATTATACCCAAATAAGAGAAAAGGAATAAAAAATGATGAAAGAAAGAATCACCATTGATCTGCTTCCTGAAATCGAGAATACTTGTATATTTTGGTTAAATGCGTTTTTCTTAACGTTTAAGAATTTACCTATACACCGAGGATGGTGTCTTAGTAATTTATTTATATTTCTCCTTGTAGGGGAGACAAGGGGGACACCATAAGGGCATCATATATCCACTACTTGGACCAGTTGAAGAAGAGTGCTGCAGTGGGAGAAATATCTCGAAAATTCTCCACCAACGAGAACACTTTCACTGTGGGTGGGTCGTACGCCATCGACAACCTGACACAAGTGAAAGTGAAGCTCAATAATCATGGCACCTTAGGCACTGTTTTGCAGCATGAGGTCATCCCAAAATCACTCGTGACTATATCCAGCGAATTTGACACCAAGGCTCTGGACAAGACCCCGAAATTCGGAGTGTCTCTCGCTTTAAGGCCTTGAGACCACATTTGCTGAAAAGGCACATGTGCTGTTTTGAATTTGGGTGGTACTGTTAATTTGTGCTCGCATTGGGAGGAATTAAATAAGTATCGACAAACTTTACTGTCATCTCATCATTGGTTATTTTTACGTTTTTTCATTGGTGCCTAGAGAAATTCTCGGCCTTATTTCTGACCGTGTGTGCTCAGTTTCTTGTTCAGGCTTTTTGATATATGATGAGTAATTCTTTGGTCTGTGATGAATAATTTTGCAGCTCCTTCTCCAGGAAGGAAGTCAAGTCAGGAATTGTTATAAATGTTTGGCTCATGGTTGATAGCAACTGTTTCGCTCCTTTTTGCAACATTTACCATTTTTTCTCTTGTTTAGTTTATTCAAACTCTATTAATTTTGTGCAGATAGAGTGCTACCAAGTACCAGACTTAGGCTACATTGTCTGATAAGTTGGTTGATAATTTATAACTGAATTTTGAGCTTGTAGTTGATAACCTATGGTTGAAAAATTAGTTGATATGATATAAGGATTTGGTAAAATTAATTGATAAGCCAGTTAAAATAAAAGTTTTAACGGACTTGTTTAAAAAGTTATTTAAGGAAGTTTATGAGGAAAGGTCAAACTAGTTATAAAAGTTTGTCCTACTAAATTAAACTTATTTGAATATATAAAAATTATAAAAAGCTTCTTCTACAAATATATATATACAGTTTTGCTATGTAGCCATAGGATGACTTGACTTATGGAGTCATCCACACTTATTCACAAATAGTGTATTGACACATGACTTACAATAAATATAATTTGGACAGATGTCAATATATTAAGTGATGGATAGCTCAATAAGAAAACCATCTGATGGCTCCATAGAATTTTTTGCCTGAAGTTGAAAACGTCTTCAGGGGGTGTCGGGGCGATTGGATATAAAGCATTTGTTGGTGATCCAATGTCTTGAGTCACCGATAAACATAGTCTAAGACCTCCTTTACCCGTGCCCCAGTCTTTGGATCACGAGCTACTAGACCCAAAAAAAATCACCTTTTTCTCGCTATCCAAGTCACAATGTGACCTTGGGTCGCAACTGGCGGTGAGCAAGGGAATGGGATACTTGTCCTATTTTTATTTGACAAGATTATTTTTAAAATAAGATAAAATATACTTTAAATTAGTGGTGTCAGCTTATATTAAAAAAATATATAAAATGCTAAAATTCATATTTTTCCAGTCTCTATAGATAGATCACATTTGACAGGTTTTGGTACACAATTGCATTTTTTTGTTTTCACATATGTTATTCTATAAAAGTTTAATTATTATTGTTTAATTAATTTCAATATTTTATTTCAACTTATGCAATTTAAATTTTTTATTGGGTTCATATTTTTTTTTTTAATTGTATGGTATGATATTAAAATTTGAAATCATTACGAATTTAATTATAATTTTTTTAATTATTTTTGTCACAACTAAAACAATAATAAAATAACATTTGTAGATAATACTTTGAATAAATAAATAAAAATTAAATATTTTAGGTTCGGTTGAGTCAGTGATAAAGATAAGTTGGGAAGTAAGGCTAGGTTGTGTAGGTGGAGAAGAGATAAATAATTTTTAATTGTTAGGTTGTGTTGGTTGTGAGTAAAGATAGTCTAAGACCACCTTTATCCGTGACCCTACCATTGGGTCACGGAATTAAAACAAAAAAAAAAAAGGTCACCATAAGCGGCGACCCAGGTCACATTGTGACCTCGGGTCGCGACCGGTT